CCTCCTCCTCCTCCTCCTCTTCCTCCTCTTTTTCTTCCTCCTCCAGGAAGCCTTCCCATCTCTCCATTCAGAAAGCACTCACCTCCCAGTCTTCTGAGGTCCCCCTTGGTCATGACTGGATCTGTCTTCTCCTGGTACTACATAGGAACTGGGATTTTGAGGTACTGGTAGGAAGTCAGGAATGTTTATCACAAATCTCAGTCATGTGGTGTGACGTTGGGCCTTGGTTTCCCTGGCCACAAAATCCAAGGCTTTGCTGCCTTCAGCTCTGTCTGTGGGAGGGAGCAACTCCTCTGGAAGTTCCCGAGGTTCTGAAAGAGCTAGGTCCACCAGGAACCCTGAGGATCTCTGATTTCCACCTGGAGTTCTCCTCCCTCCTTAGGGGTCTGATAACCTGTGTGTCTTGAGGCAGTTCTAGAATGTTCTTTCTTCTGTTCTTCTCCACAGGTGGACCACTTGTGGGCCTGCATGGCTCCGTAGAGGATGAAGCCCAACCCCACAGGCTCCTCCCCAGAGACCTGCAAAGCTGCAGGCCAGGGCGAGAAGACCTGCCCTGTCTGCCAGGCCAGGGGAGGGGTCTCAGGTCCAGCGCCTGGCATAGGGTCTGGTTCAGGGCTTGGAGCAGGACCCAGTGCTGTTGTAGGGCCTGGACCAGGGCCTGGGGTGGTTCTAGGGCCTGGGCCAAGAGCTGGTGCTGCTCAAGGGCCCAGTGTGGTTCCAGGGCCTGGGCCGGGAGCTGGTGCTATTCTGAGACCTGGCCCAGGAACTGGGTCAGGACCTGGGCCAGGAACTTCACCGTCACCAGGGACTGGGCCCCGACGGGGGTCAACAACCCCAGCACCAGCACCGCAGCCGAAGACTCAGTCCAAACCCACTCCGGCGCCCAGGCAGAAGGTTCTGGTGACAGGAGGAGGAGGCTACCTGGGCTTTAGCCTGGGTTCCAGCCTGGCTAAGAGTGGCACTTCTGTCATCCTGCTTGATCTACGCAGACCCCAGTGGGAACTGCCCCCAAGGACTGAGTTCATCCAGGTGCAAGGACGGGGTTCTCGGGGGACCTGTGATGGTGGGGGTGGGAACAGTGCCTGTTGTGAAACCAGGGTTGGGTTTGAGGTCCCAGGCCCTGGAGCCAGACCGTCTGAACTCCTGCTCCACCTCTTACCTCCTAGCTGGGCAGCGGTGGTCACAAGGCTCCACATCCCTGAACCTTGGTGTCCTCATCAACAGAAAGGGGACAATAATAATATCTATTTCACAAGGGTCTCAGGGGGTTGATGAGATAGTGCGTGAGAAGTGCCCAGCGCAGCCCCCGGAACCCTGATGAATGGGGACCAGAGATCAAGAGGGTGAACTGTGGAGTCAGGTAGTAAACCCTGCTCCACAGTCTTTCCTGACCCTGAAGATGCTTGGCCGGGGCTGGGCCAGGGGTGGGCTCTGGGACCTGGAAATATGCAGAGTTATTATTTCAGTTGGCCTTGGACTTGAACCTCCTACCCCTACTCCTTCTTCTCTGTTTTAGGCTGATGTCCGAGATGAGGAAGCCCTGCACCGTGCCTTGGAAGGGGTGGACTGTGTCTTCCACGTGGCCTCCTATGGCATGTCTGGTGCTGAGAGGGTGAGGCCCTGTCATTCATACCTGGGGTTAGACAGAGTGGGGTTCCAGTCTTGCTCTGCCCTCCAGACCCACTGGTGCCCATGTATGCCTGTAGCCTGTCACCTCCTCCAGGAAGGATTTGGGTATTCCCAGCCTGCATTCTACATCCACCACACCGAATACGAGTTCTGCCACTTTCTAGCTATGTGACCTGGAGGAAGTTAACCTCTCTGAGCCTCTCTTTGCTCACCTGGAAAGTGAGGACATTACTACTACTTATGTGACAACCCATGTGACAGTATCTACCAAAACATACATACACCCTTTAATCAGAAATTATACTTATTTGTATATTGATGACATTGCTTTTAATAACAAAACGCTGGAGAGAACCTAAATGCTCATCTGTTGGGGACTATTTCAATAAACAGTCTTCGGGCTGCGGTTGTAGTGCAGTGGTAGAGCACTTGCCTAGCACATGTGAGGCACTGGCTTTGATTCTCAGCACTGCATTTAAATAAATAAAATAAAGGTCCATTGACAACTAAGAAATTTTTTTTAAATATTTATTTTTTTTATTTTTTGGTGGACACAACATTTTTGTCTTATTTGTATGTGGTGCTGAGGATCAAACCCAATGCCTCACCAATGCCAGGCGAGCTCGCTACTGCTTGAGCCACATCCCCAGCCTGTGAAATATTTTTTAAGAAATATCTATATAAATAAATAAATAAACTGTTTTGAATTCACACAGTGAAATTCCACACAGCCATTAGAAAAAAAATGAGGTGATTCAGAATGTATTCATAGCAGAACAATCTCCAAAGTGCAAAACAGTGTTTGATATCTTGTTGGCTTTTTTAAAAAATTAAAATGCTAGGATAAATGTTTATTTAAAGGCACAGGCATATATGCTGATATTTAAACAAAGATTTTAAACATACACAAAATTATTAATAACACTTACCTCTGGAGAGGGAAAAGGAAGACTTGGAATCAGGAATGGGAGGAAACTTCCTCTTCATTATACTGCTTGAAGTATCTTTGTTGCTTTTTTTTTTTTTTAAAGAGCTGGGATGGAACTCAGAGCCTCACACATAATAGGCAATTCCACTGAGCCACACCCCCAGCACTATTTGAATTTTTTGAGGGGACTGAGGGGACTGGGGATTGAACTCAAGGGCACTTGGCCACTGAGCCCCATCCCCAGCCCCATTTTGTATTTTATTTAGAGACAGGGTCTCAAACTGAGTTGCTTTAGTGCCTCACTGTTGCTGGGGCTGGCTTTGAACTTGGCGATCCTCCTGCCTCAGCCTCCTGCATCACGGGGATTACAGGAGTACACCACCGTGCCCAGCTAAGAAGAAAAATCGTCTTGAAATAAATCTGGAACCCACTTCTTGATGGTTTTATAAGGATTAAATGAGACTGAGGATTGTAGAGCTCTTGCCCTGTCCCTGGGAGCCTAGGGAGCTGCTACGCAGAGTTTGTTCTGGGTGTTTCCACCCAGTGTAACTACGATGGACAGTATTCCTATGTCATTTTACAGAGAAGGAAACTGAGACTTTGGAAGCACAAAAAGAATCCAGCATATTTTGAGTCACTCTTCTGTGGCCAGCCCTGGGCCAGCCACCATCCCCTGCCAAGGGTCTTACTTAATCCCAGTGACCACTAAAGGGTCAACGCTCACTTTACAGATGAGAGAGCTGAGGGCCGAATGGGGACAGAACCTCCCCCTGGCCATCGGGGAGGTGGTGCAGATCTGGGCACCCACACCCCCGTGGGCCTCCCAGGACCCCTGCCCACAATGGTGGGGTGCCCACCGGACTTTCTGCTGCTCCTCTCCCCTGCTTGACCCTAAGGGCAGCCTCTGGCCTCAGGGACAAGACAGGGGACAGTACCATGACTTCCCACCCCTGTCTTGTCTTTTAGCTGCAAAAAGAACAGATTGAATCTATAAATGTCGGAGGCACCAAACTAGTGATCGATGGTAGGCTGTGTGTCCACTGTGCTCTCCTTCTCTCCCACCCCTGCCACAGGCCCAGCTGTGGGGGACAGGGTCAGGGGACAGAGGCATGACCCTCCCGGCCTGGCCCTGCCTGCCCAGCGAGGGCCTGTGGGCAGCACGTCCTTCCTGTGTGCAGACCTCTCGGGGCCCTGCATGGGGATTGTCAGTGTGGCAGGGAACGTGGGGGCGGGGGAGGGCCGTGAGACAAGTCGCTGAATCCCCTAATGGAAGACCCGCACCTGAGCCCTTGGGGCCTGTCCTGCACCTTGACTTTCTCTCTCGTTCTGGAGTGTCTTTTTTTTCTCTGTCCCCGCTGAGTGAGACTTTCATCTGACCTGTCCCTGGCAGGGTGGCTCAGGGGCCAAAGCCACCCTGGAAGGAAGTGGGCCTGGCCCCCAAGGGGCCCATGGAGCCAGGCTTCAACCCACCCCAAGTTGGGGGAGACCTTCCCTCCTGAGCTGCTCTGGATTATGGGAGGGTCGGGGTGTGTGTTGAAGACGGGGGAAGAGACCAGAGGATTGGATTTGCCTGTGGGCGCGCTCACACTCAGCCCTGGGTGTGCACGTGTCAATCACTGCAGTCTGTGTCCGCCGGAGGGTTCCGAGGCTCATCTACACCAGCACCGTCAACGTGGCATTTGGCGGGAAACCCATAGAGCAGGGCCATGAGGACTCGGTGCCATACTTCCCCCTGGACCAGGTACTGACCTCCAGAAGGGGAGGGTGGGACCAGGGTGAGGCCCAGCAGGAAGGGATACCCCAAACTGGGGGGGGGGGCACAGGCCTGATCCGATTTTAGTTTGTCAAGTTGAAGGGGTGGTGAAAGTCCTCTGGCCTTGAGCCCCCAGCTCCTTTCGACCTGTGTGACCCTGAGCAAGTGGCTTCACCACTCTGAACCTCTGTTTCTTCATCTGACAAATGATTACCAGGGGGTCATGGAAGGCAGGAAATGAGATAATGAGTGTGAAAACCTCACGGGACACTAAAGGATAACATAAGTAACTCCTCCAGTGAGTGACCAGCACCAGTGAGTGGCACAGGGCAGACATAGGGAGCTGGCAGGAGGCTCCCTGAGTTGAGGTGCCCTGGTTGTCTTACTACCTTGCATCCAGTGCACTTCTGTTCTTCTGACTCTGGAAGGAGATGCCCTGTCCTCCCACCCAGAGGGAGAGAGAGGCAGTGGGGCTCAGGGTTGGCCATCTCCCAGATCCACACCTTCCCATTTGAAAGGCAAGGTGTAGCCTTGGGCTGGGCCAGGCTGGCCGGGCATTGCCAGCAGCGTTGCTGACCCCCATCTTGTGGCTCTGTTCTCCTTGTCCCCCGGCAGCACATAGACCACTACTCCCGAACCAAAGCCATCGCCGACCAGTTGACCCTCATGGCCAACGGGACTCCTCTCCCAGGTGAGCACCAGGGGCCTTCTCTGAAATGCCCACGTGACTGTGGCTTCTAGCTGACGTGTGTCTGGACCTGCCTTCCTTCCAAGGGTCGGTCCCCAGGGTTTGGGCTTTTCATCATTCAGAGCATCCTGAGCACCTGCTATGTTTCACCTGCAGCACGGCAGTCTCCAAAGAGTCTGGTCCAGCCTCTGCCCATCTGGTGGGGAAGAGGCTGGGGCTCACCCAAGGTTGAAGTCTCTTTCTTGTCTCACAGGAGTGGATCCAGGTGTGGGGATCCTCTTTAGATAAAAGGGTACAACAAATTAAATAGAGAATGAGCTGAGCCCTGTGGAAGGGTAGTGCAAACGAAGAACCTGAAAGTCTAACCTTCGAGAGCTTTCCAGAAAAATCTGCCTCTGCTACCTCACTGCATTCTCTCCTCTGGTTATAGAGAAATAATAACAGAATGTGAACCGTCCACATTTATTGAGTGCTTACTACACACCAGGTCCTCTGTTGCATGCTGATCTTATATGCAAAAAGCTCTGAAAGCTTTCTGAAATTCAGAAACAGAAGAGCATCAGATGGCTTGGTTTCCCTTTATGATCAAAATCATCTAAACTTGGGAGCCAAGCCGGTGTAGAGAGCAAGGGATATTTGAAATCATTAGTTCTAGTTTAGAGGTGAGAAAACCGAGACCGAATAACTGGCTTCACTCAAGGTCACTCCATTGTGAAGTTGTTGAGGTGGAATTTGAACCTCAGGGAGTTTAACCACTGTACTGCACATGAGGCACAGAAGAGCAGGTCTCTAAAGCCAGGGCACGTTTTTCTAAAATGTTCCCCAGCCCCTGATACCCTGGGCCAGCCAGGCGTCCACCTCTGATCCCAGTGGGAACATCCAGTGGTCTAACCCTTTGTGGGTGAATTCTCTTCTCTACCTGGGGCCTCCCCACTCCAACCACAGCCTGCATGCCAGACACCTAATCCTCTGGCTGAGAATAATTTATATGCATCCACAGCTTTCCATGGTCAGGAGAGTCATGGATACCCTGGGCCTGGCCCCTCTGTGACGTGGCTGCCCAGTGCCCCACTGGCCACTGTCAGATGCAACCTGACCTCCCTCCACCAGGCCCCGGGGACCCAGAGTTTCAACTTAGCTGCAGGTTGTTTACAGGGCAGCTCACCTGACACCTGCCTTCCAGGAGTCCAGCCATATTCACCCCAGATGATTTCCACTTCCTACTACCCAAGCTGGTCGCTGGGACTGTCCCTCTAAACTGGCACAGAGGACCCTGTGACATTGACATTGATGCTGAGTCTGAGATCTAGATCCCAGCTCAGCCTCAATGCAGTTGTGTCCTCCTGTCTCTGGGCATGTTAGTGTCCTATGGCTACCACAAATTTGGTCTCTTTAAACAACAGAAATTTCTTCTGGAGTCATCTGGAAGATCTTGATTTCCAAGATCTTGAAATCAAGGTGTGAGCTGAGCCACCTCCCTCGGAAGGCTGTAGGGGAGAATCCTTCCATGTCTCCTCCAGTTTCTGGTGGTCCCGGGCATTCCGTGGTTTGTGGCTGCTGAATCCCTGCCCAGGTTGGACATGGTGGCACACACCTGTAATTCCAGCAACTCAGGAGCCCGAGACAGGAGGATCGCAAGTTCAAGGCCAGCCTCAGCACCTTAGTGAGGCCCAAGGCAACTTAGTGAGAACCTGGCTCAAAAAAATAAATAAATAAAAGAAATTAAAAGGGCTGGGTTATAGGTTAGTGGTAAAGCACCCCTGGATTCAATGGTTAGTATCAAAAAGGAAATTTTAGTTACAACAATAACTTTGAATAAACCTCACAAAACATTTTTTTTAAAGAGAGAGGGGGAGAGAGAGAGAGAGAGAGAGAGAGAGAGAGAGAGAATTTTTAATATTTATTTATTTTTTTAGTTATCAGCGGACACAACAACTTTGTATGTGGTGCTGAGGATCGAACCCAGGCCACATGCCAGGCAAGCACACTACCACTTGAGCCACATCCCCAGCCCCCACAAAACATTTTTTAAAAAGGGGGAAAAAATCCAACTCCAGCTCTGCCTTTGTCTTTACCTGCTTCCTCTTCTCTGGGCATCTCTCTCCCTCTCTCTCTCTCTCTCTCTCTCTTTTTTTTTTTTTTAATTTATGTGGTACTGAGGATCAAACCCAGGGCCTTGTGTATGCAAGGCAAGCGCTCTACCACTGAGCTACAACCCCAGCCCCTCTGAGGATCTCTTCTAAGGACTTTTGTCATTGAATTTAGTGCCCAGCTACATAATACAGGATGATCTAAAGATCCAGATTACAACTACAAAGACCTTCTTTCCAAATAGGGTCACATCTGCAGGTTCTGGAATACGGATGTCTTTTTTGGGGGGAGCCACCATTTCACCTACCATTCTGGGCCTCAGGGTCAAGTGAGGATGTTGGGGGTGTAGCAGTCAGGTGTTGAGTTGATGCAGAGACGCCAGCCCTGGCTCACGTGTGGAGAAAGGGAACTTAGGTTGGAAGAATGTGGCAAAGCTTCTAGAAAATAGATTTCCAGAAAAATGGCCAAAAGGTCTCGGAAAGGACAGAGTTGGGGCAGTTCAAGGACCTGGGTGGCAGGAACTGATGACCAGTCTCTTTAGGGTGGGCCTTCTAGGATTAGGGTCTTGGTAACAATGATGCTCAGTATTGCTTTTTAGGTGAAAGAGTCCCATGGCCACCATCTAAATGGCTAGCCCCCAAGACCTTGCAGAGAGAGTCTCCCCACAGGAGGGTGGACTGCCAGTGGTAGAGGGTGGTCTACACCGGAGAAGGCCCAGGAGGTGTAAACAGCACGGTGCTTCCCTTCCCTGATGGGATGCTCCTCCCCACTCTCCTGACCACCCACCCCTGTGTCCTAGGAGGGGGTATTCTTCGGACCTGTGTGCTGCGGCCCCCCGGGATCTACGGCCCTGAAGAGCAGAGGCACCTACCCCGAGTGGCGGTATGTCACCCCAGCCTTCCAGGACCCCAGGCAGAGGGAGCCAGGTTGATGAGCAACAGTGACGGGGCCTCCCTGTCCGTGGTCACCATATTGAGCTGAAGGCAGAGGGTCCGGAGCCTGGGACCCTCAGATGCCCATGACCCCAGCAGTTCATGGGCCCCGCAGCCTTACCAGGAGCAGAGCCGTCACGTCTGCCAGACAGGCCAAGGCGTGGGTTGGGAAGACAGAGGGGAGCCTGTTGCCCCCGCTCACACGTGGGTCCCCGGGGGGCTGGGTGGGTCATCTCACACGAGCAAGCAAGGGTCTGGCTACGGAAAACCTTCTCTAGAAAAGACTAGGTATGGGGCGGAGAGCCACAAGGTCCTGTCCTCCCACAGCTCACAGCCCGGTTAGAGCGACACATACCACGTTTACAGCCTCAGCCTGGGGAGCGCTGGGCACAGGGACATGAAAAGCCTGGTGAGGGGTCCTGGAGGGCTTCCTGGAGGGATTAATGGGGGAGTGGGGTGGCAGGGAGCAGGTAGACCCGGTAGAGGAGGCAGCTCAGACACACACCGAGAGAGGAGAAAGGTCCTGGCCAACGTGGGAAGCACCAAGAGGTTCCTGTGGCTGAGCCTCATCTGGGAGTGGAAGGCCCTGGGGGGAACGGGGGCCACCGGAGGTGACCGCTGCAGTCTGCGGTTTTAGAACACGCCTCCTCGGGAGCCTTAGGTCTGTTTTCTGTTTCTTAAGTCGACCAGGTTCTTGGGGGATGTGAGGTCAACCCCAGTGACTCCTTCCCGCCTCCCTTCAGTTATTCATTCAACAAATATTTGTTGAATTCCTACTGTGTGCTCGGGAGGCTCTAGATTTTGAGACAGATCAGTGAACAAAGCAGAGGGCTCCCGCGCTGTGGGCTTCTGTTCTCACACAGGAGGCGGATGATAAGCCATAGTCATCGGTAGGAGGCAAAGTCGCCGGGGCCTGACCAGGAAGGGCTTCTTGGCCATCTGTCAGGACACCAGCTTTCAGTGACAAGCTGGACACCCAGGGATGATTCCAGCCAGGAGAGACATGGTCTGCCTGGGGAATAAATGGGCCCCCCACTGTGTGGGACCAGCTGAGGGTCAGGAAGCTGTGGTCAGTGTCCAGGTGGGAGATGAGGGCAGCAGTCAGGGTCACAAGCGGCCGGAATCCGGGTAAATCCTAAGAGCAGGGCCACCTGGACTTGCCGATGGGTCAGAGGTGCGGTGTGACAGAAGGCGGGGACATCAAAGGTAGTGCCAGGGCGGCATGTCCCCAGCTGAGCGGCATTGGCGGTGCAAAGGCCTTGGCCTGGAGCCAGACAGTTGGGACCGTGGGTGGGCATCAGAGGGAAGGTAAAGCCACCCCAGACTGAGTCCCTGTGTTTACTGCCCCCTCACCCTGTGCCAGGGCCACATCAAGAGGAGGCTGTTGATGTTCCGATTTGGGGACCGCAGGACACGGATGAACTGGGTCCACGTCCGCAATCTGGTGCAGGCTCACGTGCTGGCAGCAGAGGCCCTCACGGCGGCCAAGGGCTACGTGGCTGTGAGTCTCTGATGTCCCACAGGCTGCAGGCAGGGGTTCCCCAGGGTTGTTGGTCCTCAGAGGGCATTAGTACCTCTTCACAAAGATCCCGTGAGGCTGGCGTTGATTCCAAAATGACAGCCACCCAAGGCATAGCATTTTGCAAATATTGTCACATTGGGTTTTTCACAGCAGCCCAAGAGGGAGACTTCATTAGTTTCTCCCTGTTTCTCGGGTAAAGTAAGGGACAGAGAGGTTAGGTGACTGCACTGGGATCCCACAGTATGGTGGCCCCAGAATTCACAGGCAGTGGCTCAGGTCGGTCCCTGGGCCTGGGGGGCTGCTCAAGATAATGAGGGGATTAGAGCAGCTGCTGAGAGCCATTGGAAAGGGGGGTGGGGTCAGCAGATAGGCAGATGCCTGACTGTCGCCCTCCCTGTGTCCCCCTCAGAGCGGGCAGGCCTACTACATCAATGACGGGGAGAGCGTCAACCTCTTTGAGTGGATGGCACCCCTGGTAGGTACCAAGCACCACCCGATCCTGGAGTAGGTACCTGCAATCCTGTCGTCTCTCCCTGTCAACTCTCCTGCTTCCAAAAAAATCAGATTTCATATTACAAACCAGCTCTGGCAACACGATCCCCTGCACGAGATGGGAACTGGCTGCAGCTGAGCTGTGGCCGCCCCTGGGTAAGGCCATGTATTTACCCAGCTTGTCACAGCTCCTTCCTGACTTGCCTCCTGATTCACGATGGCTTCAAGCCCTGTGGAGTTTTATATTTTGTGGTGCTGGGGATGAAACAAAAGCAGGGGCCTTGCACAGGCTAGGCAAGTGCTCTGCTGCTGAGCCACACCCACAGCCCTTTTTAATATTTTATTTACAGAGAGGGTCTCACTAAATTGCTTAGGGCCTCACTAAGTTGCTGAAGCTGGCCTTGAACTTGTGCTCTTCCAGCTTCTGTGATCACAGACGTGTGCCACTGGGTCTAGCTCATTCCATTTTATTGCCAAAATACTGCATCTGTGGCTAGACCGCATGCTGTTTTGGCCCTTCATCAGTTGATAGAGATTTGGGTTCCTCCACTTTTGAGCTGTTATGAATAGAACAAAGAACATTTGTATGCATTTTTGTTATGTTTTCGTACATACCTAGGAATGGATCTGCCAGGTTATATGGAAACTCTATGTTTAGCCTTTTGTAGAGGAACTACCAGATGGGCTTCCAAAGCGGCCACATTATTTTCCATCTTTCCAACAGCATAAGAGGGCTCCAATTTCTCTGCATCCCGCTCGCCTTGTTTTGGTCTCTCTGACTTGGAGAGTTGTTACACAATTCATCCAGGGCCAGCCAGGATGGCTGTCCTGGAGATTTCATTAGATTTTAGTAGATCTTTCAGAACTGTCCTGCCATCTTCCACACATTTGCTGGGTCTTCCCCCCACCATCACCCCCACTTTAACAGATAAATGGATTCTAGAAAAATCGATTTTACTTCAGTACCTGGGAGTGTCTTCCGGCGTGGGCAGATGTAAATAATAATTAAATAATGTGAATGAGCCCAGGTTCAAACTCGTCCCATGCATTCAACTCATGCCATGAGTCGCCCAGACCAAGGAGAGATTTCATTTCAAGACTGGTGCAGGCATGGGGCTGGCTGTGGGTTGGTGGGGTCTTCTGCGGGCCCCAGGGTAGGAGGAGCAGGTGGACAACCTATCTCATCTCAGGCCATGTTCCCTTGCAGTTTGAGAAGCTGGGGTACCACCAGCCATGGATCCAGTTGCCTACTTCCTGGGTTTACCTGGCAGGTAAGGAGAGTGTATGAAGGCCTCCATGTGCCAGGTGCACGTGCGAGTGCTTTACCTTATTTGAAATTCAGGACCAGGACTAAGATAAGGGAGTGTGGTGTGGAGGTATCAAGGGCCCAAAACTTAAAGAGGCCGTGCAGGTGAGCCAAGCCCTACCCTGCCCTTGAACATGTGGGCTCCATAGGCACCTCACTTCCCTTATCATGGGCCTGGGCCTGTTTACCCCCTAACCCACTTGCAAGGCCTAGGCACGGCTGGCTCCCTACAGCCCATGCTGGGGAGACATGCCAGACAAGGGGAGAGGGAGCCCTGGAGTTGCCCTCTCCCCAAGTCACCTTGAAGTTGGAGTTGCTTTGGGACACATGGAACTTCCTTTTGACCCTAGATTCTCCTGCTTATCCTGAAGGTCAGCCCCTGCTCCCACGCCCCTCTCCACAGTGTCCTGGCTTCTGTGCCCTTTGCTGGCCTCTTTCCATCTGGAATGTAGAGCAGACATCGGGCATGGAGTGAACAGCCCAAGGGGACAGGTAGCCCTCAAGTCACAAATGGCTATTCCTGACCCACCTTTGGTGGAATCTGCTATATTTTAAATGCACCACATTTGCAAACGCGCCCTCCTGGGCACACCCACGCACAGGGTGACTTCTCCTGTGCAGTGTTGCCACAGTGATTGACACTGCTGACCGCCCCCCTGGGACTCTGAACAGAAAAATACTCTAGGCAAACCTTAGACCAGTGATGTCAGGATCAGCGGGAAGCAGGTGGGAGGGAAGTGGCAGTATTTCTTTTTTTGTGTTTGTGCCAAGGATTGAACCCAGGGATGCTCAACCCAGAGCCGCATCCCCAGCGCATAGCAGTAATTCTTAAAGTGGCCCACTGCACTGCTCTCAAGAGAATAGGAGAGCAATTCTAGAGAGGACTTCGAGTCGGCTCACATTTACCTAAAACCTCTTTTTTTTCCAAAATTTTTTTTAAGTTGTAGACAGACACAATATCTTTATTTATTTATTTATTTATTTATTTATCTATCTTTAAGTGATGCTGAGGATCAAACTCAGTGCCCCACCTGTGTGAGGTGAGCGCAGGTTTATTTGTGATTTGGTCCCCAGCTACGAAGGTACCCCAGCATGTGCTGCTAATTGAAAGGAATCCAATGACTTTTGCAAAAGGGACCCTGAGCAAAGCAAATAATTTCCCCCATTGATAGGTCTCTGAGGGCCTCCTGAAGTTTGCACTGATGGAGGCCCTTGTCCCTGGCCCCTCTCCCCACAGCCACCGTGATGGAGTTCCTGCACCTGATCCTTCGGCCCATCTGCAGTGTCCCCCCTCTGCTCACTCGCAGTGAGGTAAGTGGGCTGCTAACAGGAAAGCTATGGCCCTTGAACCTCCTCTTCCCCCCATCCCCACACATCCTCACTGCCGCCTCATCCTGGACAGCACAGCTGGATACTTGGCTGAGGTCTCAGAACCTTCTGTTTAGTCCCAGGTTTGGTCCAGGACCTTTATAATCATCCCAGTCACAGCTTTGGTTGTGCCCTCCTGGTGCAAGCCAGTCCTGCATGCCTTATTTCACTCGTACGCAACTTAGCTTTTCAGACAGACTGGAGGAGCCCAAAAGCAAGCTCCGTGACATTCAGGCTTTTGAACACCACCAACCCCATCATCAACTCTCAATACATGTGCACAGGCACACATCCACATGCACACACACACAAAAGACCTGGTGGGCCCAGCCTCAGTTCATGCTTACTGGATAATAAGTATAGACCTACTGTGTACAGAATGCTTATAGTAATGATGATGCTGGTCGTTTGGTTTTGTGCTACTAGAGATTGAACCCAAGGTACCACTGAGCTACACCCCCAGCCTTTTTTATTTATTTTAAGATAGGGCCTTGCTAAGTGGCCAAGGCTGAGCTAGAACTTGTGATCCTCCCACTTCTACCTCCCTGAATTTCTGGGATTACAGGCGAGTGTCACAGCACCCAACAAAGATAGTTTTATATTTGCTTGGCACATATAGCTTAAAAGAGAGGCTATTTTAATTCAGATTGCAAACAGTAGCACAACAGCTGGTGTTTGGGGTTATTTGCAAAAACTCTTCAGTCCACCGTCCCCTTTGATGCTCTCTGATGCCCTGCTACATTAGGAAAGGCAAATGGTTATGCTCGCTCCTCATAAGACACTGAGCATCAATAGAGAAATTAGTGGCTTGCCCAAGGTCACACCCTACTGTAATTGACTGGACTTCAGGTCTAGAGCTTTCTGACCCAAGAGTTGAGAGGAGAGAGTTACCTACCTATAATTTCTCCTTTGAACCCTCCAGACCAGCAGAGAGAATGATAGTGATCATCTATTGAGTGATGGTGAGAATGCTAGGCCCAGTCCCTTAATGCCATTTCATTTTCACTGCTATGGTCAGTTGTAGATTCTGTTATGTCCATTTGCAGAGGAGGAAATGAGACACATAGTGAAATAACCTGCCCATGCTCACTCAAATAATATCACTGGGATTCGAACCCAGACCTAAATAAACTCCAGGCTTAATCGCTAGCTTGCCAAGTGTATCAGGAACCACACCTGGTAGTGCAAAAGAGCTGCCAAGGTGCTACTGGATTGTGGTCAGGCAAAAACTTGGCCCCACTCCCTCCTGTCTAAATGGTAGATTTCCTTGTTCAGCTCAGGAGCAGAAGATCTCAGTTAGCTGGGGAAGTTTTTCAGCTGTGGTTTAGGCACCCTCTGCCGGCTAGTCTGTGACATACCAATCAGCTTTCCAGTTTGATTTACAGCTTTTCATTTATCATTTATTGAGCACCTACTGTGTGCCAGCAATGGAAGCAAGAAGATGGTCCTTACCCCCAGAAATCTCACAGTCTAAAAAGGAAGACATCCTTATTATAAACCAGGCAACTCCACACACTGTGATGACAGCTATCCAGAGAAATGATGAGGAATGCCGAGTATGCAAAAGGGACACCTAAGCCAGCTCTGAGGAAGTCAGGAATGAGGTCACATTTAAGCCTGATCGCTGAGAATATTGTGTCCCAGGGCCTGTGTTAGTTCACAGCTATATCTCTATATAATAGGTAGTCAATAAATATGTTTGGAATATTAACTCAGCTAAAAATACGCTTACATCTGCACTCCCCAAATCCCTGAACTAACTGGTGCCCAAAAGAACAAGAGCTGGCCTCTCTCCCTGTTCCACGGAAGTGTCCAAGACCAGGGGCTTGACCCCAGAGACTATTGCAAGTGCCAGGGGAGAATCAAGCAACTGGTGGACCCTTCCCCAATGTCCAGCTGAGAAACAAGAGAGGAAGAAATGAGACAGGTGAGAGGGCATCTCCAAACTAGTATGGCAGGGAAGAACATGGGCTAGATAGAATGTAGCTCTCCTGTGTGACCCTGGGCAAGTCATTTAAGCCCTCTGATCTTCAATTTTCAGATATGCCCAGAGGAGATGGTACCATCTTAGAAGAGTAAATAAAATAAGGCATATAAAGGTTTGGACCAGGGCAAGCACATGGTATGTTTCATGATACCTGTCATTATTACTCTTGAAGACTGTGGGCCCCAGTGGCAGGGAAAATGCAGATCAGACCTAAGAGAGTGATCACTTGTGCATAATTGAATTCCTGTCTTAGGGACAACAGCTAATTAGCTTTTAGGGAGGAATTGAACCCCTGCCCATTGGGACACTGCAGAAGCAAGACGCAGCAGCCGGGTCCTTTAAAATCTCTGTGATGGAGGCGCAATGCCTAAGTTCTCTTTTCCCTCTCCATAAACAACAAGGTCGAGGATGCTCGCCCTGTCCACTAGCCCGGCCCTTGGCTGTCCCGCCTCTCCCGCAGGTGCTCAGCGTGGCAGTGACGCACACCTTCCAGATCGCCAAGGCCCGTGCTCAGTTGGGCTACTCTCCCGACAAGTTCAGCTTCGCCGACGCGGTGGAGCGCTACGTGCAGTCCACGACCCGGCAGCCCAGCGGCTCCACAACGCGGACGCTCCTGCGGCTGCTGCTCGGGCTGCTGCTTCTCCTGGGCCTGCTGGGCCTCGCCCTGCATTTCCTAGGCCCGCAGCCCGTGCAGGCGGCGGGGAGGCGCCTCTGACCTCTCGCCACTCTGGAGCGCCTGCTCAGTTCTGTCTGCCGGGTTCTCGGTGCTAGTACCCTCCCCTCCTGGCCCTCGGGATTTGGACCGGCCTTTGCGTTCTGACCCTGCCCCTTGGGCCTAGCCACGCCCCCATCAGCCTTCCGGGTTGTACTCGCCCCGCCCTCCGTGTTTGGGCACGCCCCCGCTCGGCCGCCCGCGCCCTAGCCACGCCCTTGATCCGCCTTCTGCGCCCTGGCCCCGCCTCTAGCTCCTCCCCCCGGCCTGGCCCAGTCTCTGAGAGTCCCAGCCTCAGCCTGCTCGGTCTTCCAGGCCTTCCCGGCCTTCCCACGCCTGCCCAGTCCCGGCCCACCCCCCTGGACACTTCCCTGCTCTGGCTCTGCCCACTTTCTGGCCTCACTCCTTCATTTGAGCCCATCTTTTGGTTTCTCCTTCTGGGACTGGATTGGCTCCCTCCTCCTGTGTCCATTCCTTCCCTGGCCCCGCCCACTCTCTCTGGCTCCACCCCTTCCAGCCCCGCCTCCCGGACAGGGGTCTGAGGGCCAGTACCCCTGGGTGGCGTCTGTGGAGTTTGCGTTTCCTGCAGCCATTTCCCGGGTTAGCGGATCGTCCACCCCTCTGGGGCTTCTTTGGGCATCTTCATCGATATCGTTTCGGAATCTTGGGTTAAACCCATTTTAGTAACTTTGCGTTTGATCCCCTCCACTCAAAAGTCGTGGTTCTCCCATTCACACAAACGAGCTGGAGCTTGGAGGGACCTAGAGACCCAGGCAGGCTTCTTTCTGCCCAGCCCAACTTGGCTTCTGGGGGTTCCCGGTTTATGATTCTGGAGATGATTCAGCATGGTAAACACAAGTTTCAATTCCAGATCGGGCAGGATAAAAGAAACTTTGTCAAGTATTGGATGTCTCCAAAAAGTACCAATATAGTTATAATGGGGAAAGCAGAGTTTAATTGGTCATATTTTACGACTTATTATTGTCCCTATTTGTTAATGAGGGGTAGTGGTGATGGATCACTGTCATCTTTAAAGGTTATGACCACAGAATTTATTAATCCAACCCTGCTCCCCATAGAAATTGCACCTCTTATCATGTTGATATCAACTGTGGATACCAAGATTTCAGTGTATAATAGATCCATGTATATATGTATATCATAATGTGCAGACTTGGAATTGACTGAGCAAACGCCAGTCCAAATGGATCGTGGCAGAAGAGAAAGCCATCACGAGTCTGTGGTGGAAGGGAAGGAATGTGCTAATCAACTATAGCAGTCATACCAACTATGGCAGTCACCCATCATCTCAGAATGTGACTCTGATGAACAAGGAAGACAGTGTGTGAAGGAGCTTAAAATGGCATGCTGGTCTTCTAGGTGGCATTGCATGTGTGTATATAATGTTTTAAAGATCAATAATGATCCTTTTCGACTGTTAAATGCTTGACAGCTTGCAAGGATTTTCATCTATATGATCTTATTTAAATGTTATGGCCACCCTTATAATACAGTTTACTATTGTTGACATTTTAGATGAGGAATATGGGGCTGGATTTAATGTCAAGGAGCAGGGCGGAGTGGGGGTTACTTCTCTGCAGCGGGAGTAACTTGAAGAAGCTTCCCAAGCCACAGGTCAAACTACTTGCTTATTTCTGTTCTGAACCTGCATCCGGGGTAGAGGGGACCCCCACTCTAGAGGCGAGGTCCCTCAGACCTGGGTGTCGGTGGGGGGGATCTCCCCACAGTATCTGGGGTAGAGGGGACTCCCACCTCTAGGAGCGAGGTCTCTCTAATCTGGGTGTCAGGTGAAGCTCTGTACACCATTACACCCAGGGTAGAGGGGACTCCCCCCTCTAGTGGGGAGGTCCCTCTAACCTGGATGTCCAGGGAGCTTTCCATTGCACCCAGGGTAGAGGGGACTCCCCCATCCAGGGGGTAGGTCCCTCTAACCTGGATTTCAGGGGAGCTCTGTATACACCATCTCAGCCAGGATATAGGGGACTCCCCACTCCATGGGGGAGTTCCCTCTAACCTGGGTGTCTGGGGGAGCTCCCCACCAGCCCCAGGGTGGAGGGGGACTCCCCCCTCCAGGGAGGAGCTCGAATGCCATCACACCCAGGGTTGAGGGGACTCCCCCTCTACCCTGACCTTGCCAGGTCTGGGATCTACCTCTTTCTCTCCTATCAATAATCCTCAGTCTGTTTGAGGCTGGCGGACCTTGGGCTCTCTTTCTTCTTGGTAGCACATTTGCATCTAAACTCACCTCCTTCTTTTCTCTACTTCCACTCTCTACCAATCTTGAGTTCTGATTTTTTTTTCTTTCTTTTTTTTTTTTTTTTTTTTTTTTTTTTTTTTAGTACCAGCGATTGAACTCATGGATACTCAACTATTGAGCCACTTCCCCAGGCCTATTTTCTATTTTATTTAGAGACAGAATCTCACTTAGTTGCTTAGTGCCTCAGTTTTTCTGAGGCTATGCTTTGAACTTGTGATCCTCCTGACTCAGCCTCCCTAGCCCCTGGGATTACAAGGCTGCACCACCGCACATAGCCTGAGTAATCTGTTCTCAGTAGAAAAAACAGACTCACACTGTTCACATTATCTTCTAGATCTTTTGTGTACTGCCTGACCTCACCCTTTGAAACCCCAAAGCCGAGGATCAATTTCTTTGTTTTCTACATTTCTCCAAGCCATTGCTTCTCTGAGCCTCTGAAAGTAAATGTCTAAACCCTGAGCTGGAGGGCAACATAGGTTCCTATGCCAAGAAAGCTTCCTAAAGGAAGTCGACACCTCCGCCCAACAGACAGCTTGAAAAGTATCTAGAAGAGCTGGGGTTGTGCCTCAACGGTAGAGCACTCGCCTACCTGTGCAAGGCGCTGGGTTTGGTCCTCTGCACCACATTTAAAAACTAAATAAATAAAGGTATTGTGTCCAATTACAACTAAAAAATTTTTTTAATTAAAAAAAAGTATTTAGAGACTCCCCCAGATAATCAGCCTCCATGAGGTTCTGAGTGGGAGGAAGTCCTAGCTTATTTGAAGGCACTAAGAGAAACATGAATGAAGAAACAGTATCACCAATCAGAATGGAACATCAAGGCAAAGTGACAAGCTTTCGCTGTCGGTACTGAAGCTATTACCAACTATAGATCCAATGCGGGGCATCTAAAATGTCCTCCTGAGAGCTGGAGATGTAGCCCAATGGTGGAGTGCTTGCCTAGCTTGTGTGTATATGGGGCTCTGGGTTCAATTTCCAACACTGAAAAAAAAATTATAATATGTCCTCCCTTGACTCCCCATTCCCTCTCTATTTATTTCTCTCCCCTCTTTAAAATTTTGTGATGAGTTCTCTATACTTGTGTTTCCATTTCTTCAACCCATTTCAATAAGGCTCTAATCAAGGTCATTAATGACCTTGCCCATAAATCATAAAGCTGGTCTCTATCTTGCCAAACCTCTTCCTAGTATTCAATATAGTCAATTCCCGTAGAACTCCTTAAAACATTCTACTTGGTCTCTGTGAGGCCACAGCTGTGTTTTACTTAGTTTCTGACCAGTCCTTCTCTTTCTCCTTCGGTGGACCCTCTTCCAGCGTTTCCCATTAAGATCAGGTTCCTCGGGACTCTGTCTTGGCCCCCTTCTCCCTCTGGTCTTCCTGGGTGAGTTCATCTACTCCCATGGCCTCAGTCTCTCCTGCCTCCCAAATCTGTGTCATCTGCTCAGAGTGCTTTCTTGACCTCCAGACTTCTTTTTCATTGCCAGAATTGAACTTGACCCCAGAGCCTCACACATGCTAGGCAAGAGCTCTTCTACTGAGCTTCACCCCCAGCCTCCACCTCCAGACTCCTGTGTCCAATCTTGGGTTCTATCTATTGTCCCACAAGCACCTCAAACTCAATGTGAACCAAACTGAAAGTGAATTTATCATCTTTCCCATAAACCCATCCTTTCTCTGCCTTGTGTTCCATCATCCCTGGAAGAGGAGAGTCACATTAGCCATTAGTGGCCCAGGCCCAGCCCCTGGGTAGCTTTTTTTTTTTGGGGGGGGGGGCGGTACTTTACCACTGAGCCCCATCCCCAGCCCTGTTTTATTTAGGGACAGGGTCTCAATGAGTTGCTTAATGCCTTGCTTCGCTGAGGCTGGCTTTGAACTCATGATCCTCCTGCCTCCTGAGCTGCTGGGGTTACAGGTGTGCTGCCTGGCCTGGCCCCTGGGTATCACTTTGAAACATTCCTCCTCACAGTCTCATCGGTGAGTTCTGTCAGAGCCACCTCCACAATGTCTTTCTGGCCCACCCCCTTCAGTCCTACATACTGCCACCACCATGGTATAAACCACTGTCCTTTCTCCCAACAACAGCAGTAACCTTGATAGAGTCCCATGTCCCTACTGAGCTTTCTAAATCCCAAGTTGGAACATGCCACTCTCCGGTTTAAAACCCTTCAATGGTTTCCCATTGCTCCTGGGGTCAGATTCAGAGCCTGACCTTGGCATTCACGGCCCTCTCGGCCTGTCTCTTCAGCCTCATCTCTGGCCATTTGTCCAATCTTCTGCCCAGCGGTATTTAATTGCCTCCTTTAATTGGCACCTCGGACTCACCAGGCTCTGGCCTGCCTGCCACAGAGGTTTTCCTGTTCTTGGAAATCTCTTCCCAACCTTCCCTTGGCTAGTCTCTCAACTTCAGGTCCAGCTTAATGTCACCTCCTTGCTTCTCCTGGGCCAGGTTAGCACCCTGCACGGCAGACATTCCTCACAGGTGTAATTCATGAATTTACAACGTCTGTAACTGCTGCCGCTGGATGCTGTCTGCCTGGTCCATCCTGCAGGTTGAGCTGGGCTTCCAGCAGCTTCTTCGTTGTGCAGTGAATATGAAGGACTCTAAAGCAAGCCTGAGGCCAATGAGAAGTGAATCAACTCAGCTGAGACATTAAGGTTGGCATCCCAATGGGAGCCAGACCCAGTTCCCCCAGCCCCTCCACAGTCCCCTGCCATCTGTTCTGCCAACAGAAGTCCATGGGTGTCAGGGGCAGCACTCCCAAGGACCTGGGCCAGCAAGGGACCCTCTCTAACTCCATTCCTGATCCCAGCCTCCTCCCCTCCACCGCCTCAACTTTTGTCCTTGAGAGATAAGAGATCCACTCCCTGTGTTCCCGGGACTGGAAACATTCAATTACTGCTTCCTGCTGGGAACTTTGCAAGTTATCCTGGATGTGATTCCCCTGAAGAAAGGGAGGAGTTGTTTAAATTTTGTTTTATTTGAAGGACATGGAATTAATAGGTGAAAGAGAAGTTTGTGTACTGGGCTAGAATTGGAAGGTTTCTTTCTCTTCTTCTTCCCCCATTTCGTTAGAAAAAATAAAGTATCAGAAAGGAGAAGAGGGATAAGACACTGAAAAGTGATTGAAAAAATATGAAGATACAAAAAAAGTGACACCATTTGGCTGTGGCAGCGGTGGGATTCGAACCCACGCCATCGAAATGACTGGAGCCTAAATCCAGCGCCTTAGACCACTCGGCCACGCTACCGCCCGCTTGAATGCTGCGCCTGTCAGCCTATGTTAGTGTGATGACGAGGGCGCCTCGTTCTCTGTAAGCTCCGCCCCCATAAGTTTGCGCATGCCTGTTATGAGACTGGCCTCCATCCTGACGCCTCTGCACTTCGCCCCCTGGCTTCCTTGGCAGTCCTGGAGTTACGGTAGTCTTGTCCCCGGCTCAAGAAGTACTGTAGGAAGCCATCATTAAAAAAGAAAGATTAGTTCCTAAATGTTAAACATTAACATCCAATCTTCACATGGGTCGAATTTGATTTTTGCATTTTCTATGGATGTGGTGCTGCCTATGGCCACCTGGGGGCGGTGCTGCGCTGCGGTTTCCTCCCAACTGGGGTGGGGATCCCGCAAGGAACCCAAGTTCGCACGGAATCCATTCTGCCGGTTCTATTCTCATCACAAGCTTCCTTTGCAGCCCCAAGTGACCTCACGGCCTGGCCCCTGCCCTCCTGATAGGAGAATCACGTGTGGGCTCCTTCAGGCATAATTATTATCCCATTTTACAGCTGAGTAACTTGTCTCAGGTGCCCCAGCCAAAGCCAGCATTCCCCAGCCTCCAAAGACCCAGGTTCTTCTGTGCAGACTATTTGAGTGTTATTTTTTAGACTAATGCAATATATTTAGAGCACGACACAGCAGCCTTCATTTCCCGTCATTCAAGATTGTTAATATTTGGAGATTTGCTTCAAGTCTTTTAAAATAATAATAATAATCCTGTAGATAAAATTGAAGTCTTTTGAGAGCCTCAAATTTTATTATTCTTCCTCTTTCCTCAGGTGTTTCAAATCCTTCCAGTACACTTTTTCCTAATTTTACCTTCAAATAGGCTTTATCCACTTCCTTTCCGTTTAAATTGGGTTATCCGCTTCCTTGTAAACAAAACCCAGGGTTATAAAGACAGCTGGGTAAGTGGATGTGATAATGGCCCCCCAAAGATGAGCACATTCAAATCCCCAGAACTTGTAAATGTGTTGCCTTACACA